AAGGTGGCTCTCCAGGAACAGGGTTGGCCACACCTGGTCTAAGCCATAAGGAAAATGAATGACCAATTTGAGTCATGCAATTGTGCAAATATAGTTTAAAGTGTAAAATTATAGTGTTTTTACAGTTGTTAAAAAAAGGATGTAAATAATGACGTAAAAATAACCACCCTGTAACGTTCTATAAATCAAATTTTACAGTTATTTTTAAGTTATTTGTAAAATTATCAACCTACAGAATAGAAATACAAAAATAACTTCAAATGAATCACAAGGTAACATTCTGAATAGCGTACAGTATGTTTAGGGTATTTTAAAATACACACCCTGCAATGTTCTGGGAATGTTATTCTATGGTTTAAAAAAATAAAACCAAAGTTTTTTTTAACTAAAAACAGGGTATGTTACATGTTTTGCTGGGTTATTCACCTTATTCTCCGCCGACGAGCTGGCGCTGCCATTTGAATCTTTTTGGCTTGAGACTTCCTGTCTCATTCACTTCCATTCATTTTTTGACTTTAAAAACTGCTCATTACGCTGCTTGATGTTGCAATTTGATATTTTCTTATTATATTATTCTACGTGGTCTGTATAGTCATGCAAACATTTGTTTGTTGAGCAAGTAGTTTGACCGCTTTCTGCCGTTTATTATTCCTAGTCATTTCTCCCATAGGCGACTGAATCGGAAGTTCTAAGAAGACATTCGCGAAAACAGGCGCACTTCTGCATTTTCGAATAAGGTCAATAAAAAAAGAACAAATAATAAATAATAATATTTTATTTTCTTTCAAGTGATTTTGGAAGGGGGATTGGGTTACAATGGACAGAGAGCTGCTGTAAGTCTGTAGCAAACAGATTTATAAATATCAACACTGTTTCATTTTTCCTTTCATTCACCAAACACCGAGATCACAGCAAAGGTTGACGTTTTATCTGTCACACATGTGATATTTTCTCTACAAGTGTGTTAAAACTCCACTACCAACACCGAATCCATAGGAATACGAAGTTTATTGTCAATCATAAAATTTCTGTTATGAAAAAAATTACACATTTACAGCCATTTATTTCCACGCTGATCAGACAGATTCAATAACAGCCTTTTTATGTTGCGTGTAATGAACTAGTAAATCCACACATTTCAGGAATGTTACAAACTCTTCATGAATGTTAAAAGACTTGTAATGTTTCATGCCTGCGCCAAATCACTATCAGTTGCATACTCCTGGTTTATCACCAGAATGTTATAATAAACTCTCAGAATTGGATTAATCAATATCAACTGACAGATGGTTCAACAACAACATGAACATTTGAAGAGCTCAGATGCAAAAACCTCTAAATGCCTTTTGAAATTTCCTTCGAAAATGAACATCTTTCTTAACCTCCTGTTCATGTTCAATTATTTCACTTTACAGACGATGAAAACACCCTATTCATCAAGAGCCTGGCCAAACTGCTCATTTTACAAGAAACGTTTAGATGGCATTTAGAGGTTTTTGCATCTGAATTCTTCTTTTGCTGTTAATTTACTCACCCTGAGGACATCCAACATGCAGGTGAAGTTTTTCTTCAGTAAAACATTAAAGGTTGATTTTAGCTCATACTGGAGACACACATCAGGATCCATTATTATTCATAGTGTGTGTGTGTGTGCTTGTTTATGTGGTTTATGGGGACATAAAATTGTATAATGACATGGGTATGGCCTAGTTGTACTCTATTAAGGTGATTTATGAGGACATTATTAAAAATGCGTAATTTTATATAACAAGGTCTGTTGATATTCAAAATTTAGATTTTTTTTGTTTAAAAGCATTGTGTTTAGAATTAAGAGTAGAGTAAAGCTGTGTTTCTCTACCACTTTCCCGGGGGACCACCGACACTGCGTGTTTTTAATGTCTCCTTTGTCTGTCACACACATTAAAGGTCTTTCAGTCTCTGCTAATAAACTGATGATCTGAATCAGGTGTGTTTGGTTAAGGACACATGGAAAATGTGCAGAGCTGGTGGTCCTCCATGTACGTTGTTGAGAAACACTGCGGTAAAGCCATATAATAAATGTTTTTTTACAGTAGAAAATACTATGCCTTTATGGAGAGTCCTCGTCTAACATATATACAAGTGTTTGTGTGTGTGTAAAGTGTGGGTTGACTGTTGAATTTTATGAATCACTACACTGCAGAAAATGCTTTTCTTACTTAGATTTTGTCTCGTTTCTAATCCAAATATCAAAAAAATTCTTAAATCAAGAGGAATTTTCAAGACAAGCAAAACATATTGTCTTGTTTTCAGAATTAATTTGCCAAAATTTTGTGATTTTCTCCTAAGAACAAGCTAAATAATCTGCTAATGGGGCAAGCAAAATAATCTTATGTCAAAAGTAAAAACAAGATTATTTTGCTTACTCCACTCGCAGATTATTTTGCTTGTTTTAAGGAAAAAACTATTGCCACATTATTTCTAAAAACAAGAGAATAAGTTTTGCTTGCCTAGAAAATGCTTCTTGATATAAGATTTTTTTTATATATTTGGACTAGAAACAAGACAAAAAATCGAATTAAGAAAAGCATTTTTTGCAGTGTAATTACCACAGTTTTAGCCCCAAAACAAACAAACAATCAAATGTTCTACTGAAGAAAAAAAATCCACCTAACATCAAACATTTGATATTTTTAGTTTAAACTATTTCTTTATATAGACAGCAGTTCACGTCTGACAGCTAATACAGAGATATATTAGACTAAAACCTGTCATTACAACATCAAACAAACAAACAAGCATGTATCTGTCATTGTTATTATTGACTGTGCTCACAAAAATTCACAGTAAGCATAAGTTTAAAAGAATTCCTTCAGATGAGAAAGTAATATCAATGTTTAGGAGAGGATGCAACTTTTTTCTAAAAAAGAAAAAAGAAAACAACACTAAACAAAGGCTTTGCGGACTAATTTGGCAGTGGTCCTTTGAATAAAATCAAAGTGTGCAAATAAATTGTTGATTCCAACTTAAAACAACACACACAGACAGACACATACACACACACCCTTCAACATGCACAACACTATATCCGACGTTAAAGACACGCACCTTTTATCTCCATATGCAACACTGCAGTATGTGCTGATATGTCCATTTTAGTATCAGTAACGTAGTTGCATGGTATAAGGATATTATAAAGTCTTCAGTATTCATTTGAAGTATGCTTGACGCATATTTATTGACTTGAGTCTGAGAGAAGGCAGGTGTGCTAATCTTCTTTATGTTCCCTTTGGAATCGCTCCAAAAGAGCGCGCAGGATGTTTCCAGGTATCTTCTGGTGTTTGTCGATAAGTGCTTGAACCGCTTGTTGCACCTGAACAGATGGGTTGGATTGAAAAAATGAGTGATCTTTATGAAGTCACTAGTAAGACAAATCTTCAAATCGCTCGACCCGAGGTGTGAACTGAATGTGTGATGTCTCTACTGTACTTTATAGCTGAATTTGCAGACAGCTTGGCTAACGACAGAACCATGGTTTTAATCATTCATTAGAAAGGCAATGCAATGATCATTTATTCAAATCTGTCATAGGGACTTTTTAGCAATGGCTTAATCTCGAGCTTGAATCTGTAACCAAGAATAAACATTTAAGGAATAAATTCTATATAAATACACACACCGGCCACTTTATTAGGTACACCTGTCCAACTGCTCGTTAACGCAAATTTCTAATCAGCCAATCACATGGCAGCAACTCAATGCATTTAGGCATGTAGCTATGGTCAAGATCATCTTCTGCAGTATAAACCGAGCATCAGAATGAGGAACAAAGGTGATTTAAGTGACTTTGAACGTGGCATGGTTGTTGGTGTCAGACAGGCTGGTCTGAGCATTCCAGAAACTGCTGATCTACTGGGATTTTCATGCACAACCATCTCTGGGGTTTACAGAGAATGGTCCAAAATAGAGAAAATATCCAGTGAGCGGCAGTTCTGTGGACGCAAATGCCTTGTTGATGCCAGAGGTTAGAGGAGAATGGCCAGACGAGTTCCAGCTGATAGAAAGGTAACGGTAACTCAAATAGTCACTCGCTACAACCGATGTATGCAGAAGAGCATCTCTGAATGCACAACAAGTGGAACCTTGAGGCGGATGGGCTACAGCAGCAGAAGACCACACCGGGTTCCACTCCTGTCAGCTAAGAACAGAAAACTGAGGCTACAATTAACACAGGGTCACCAAAATTATGGACAATATAAGATTGGAAAAACGCTGCCTGGTCTGATGAGTCTCAATTTTTGCTGCAACATTCTGACAGGGTCAGAATTTGGCATCAATAATATAAAAGCATCCTAGAGGATCGATCCAACCCGGTACTACTAAGGTGTACATAATGAAGTGGCTGGTGAATGAGTACATTTTAGTCGCATCTTTTTTGTAACGGCTGTATCGCCAGCTTGAATCTATCATAGAATTATTCAAGGTAAACATTGTAGGTATTGTATATAATTTGTAAATTATAAATAAATAATAAATAAATAGCTTTTTTTTATTAAGTATTTATATTACCATTTTAATTTTAGAGTTGGTACTTTGCTCAAGATAAGGTCTAGAACATATTGAGTTTTTTTCTTTTAAAAGAAAGAATGTTTTTATGAAATGAAGTGGTCAAAATTGACAGTAGGCATTTTCAGCAATATAAAAGACAGATTTTTGAACGCTGCTTAAAAATGTATAAGTATATATTTATACACATACATAGAAACACACACACAATAAAAAAGGTTAACTTTGAGTATAAAACTATTTCAAACATACAAACATAGTCTTAAGTTTTATAGAAGAACATTATTCGTATTAGTACTAATATTAGAGTGACAGTTCATCCAAATATGAAAATGTACTCACTATTTATTCAGCCTCAAGTGTTTCCAAACCTTTATATGTTTTTATTTTTCTTCTGCTGAACTTCTATTAAAATATTCGAAAGAAAGCTGGAAAGCAGTAACCTTTGACATACATAGTAGAAAAAAACTAATACTACGGAAGTCAGTGGTTACATTCAAGATTTTCCAGTATATATTTATTTGTGTCGAGTCAAAAAAGAAACCCAAACAGGTTTGTGAAGTGAAGGTAAATGATAACAACATTTTGGCTAAACTATCTCTTTAAGTGACATATTGTTATTATTGGGAAAGAAATGCTTACTGTTCTTCTAAATAAATGCTACTACAGTATATACAATCACAGATTGAGATTTGGGGTGTTCTTTATTACACTAGTGTTCTGTGGATATGCAGACTTTGTGCACCTGCATATGTGATGAATGGAGAATCTACTCTTAGGAGACACTGGAAACAAATGACAATGGAGTATGTAGTGTAGTCAACAATAGGTCAGGACTTGTCGGGACAGTGCAGAGGATAGAAGCTCTTGTTTTTTTTTTTTTAAAGTACAAACTCAGCAAATGCAGCTAAAAGTCAGACCTTTACAGAACTTAAAATGTACAAACACAGAATTAGTGGTCAAAAGGTCCCAGTGTCTTCTTTTTTTGGGTTTGAAATACCATTTTACCCGTACTGAAGAACTGAACACTAAAAATTTTAGAATTACAACATAATTTTCTTCTATAAAATGTTAAACATTGACGATCCGGGAGGGGGGAGTGTCAACTTTTTCTGTAATGTTCGTGTAATACATCCTTCAGTGAATCAATTGTATGCATTTATTTTAATTACACCTAATTTTTAATAATACCCATTGAAGTGTTCAGTGTTTTGTAGGGTATTTGGTGTATTCTGACCTACAGTAACCACTGATTTGCTATTATAGTTCTTGTAGGTCAAACTATACAAACTATGCATCTTATTTGAAGACTATATGTAGATACAACCACCTATTTTACAAGAAAAGTGTTGTTAACACTTACAATGTTTATCAGCGCTCTAAATCTGTTGGTGTCAGACACTTGAATGATTTTTTCTCGCATAGAATGATTGGTGCGATTTTGCATTCACAATGAACCATTATAGGGGTGGTCAAATGTATATTAATATTATCTATTATTTAATAATTAATATTATTATTTAATATATATATAGATCGAAAAAAATCTCGCTATTAAAGGGCAGATCCCCCTTCAGGATAAACCCCTTCTGAAACGTGTGTTCATGTTTATAATATGGTCTGAAGTCAACAGATAAAACTGCAGAAACTAATTGTAGAAAATGTACATTAATTTGGTGGAACCTCAAGCCACACCCACATATTGCATAATCACCATGGACCAATGGCAGGGCAGAGGTGTTTACTGACTGAACTGCACATTGGCAAGGAAGCTGACTTTGGCAAGCAGTTTCAAAGTTCCAAGTAAAGTCCAAACATAATTATTCTGGGCCTGATTTTGATTGAAAATACATCCCACCACTACAGTATATTCTTCAATTTCATTTCAAGTATGTCAGGGCCTTAAGAAGTCTTACCTTTTCAGCCAACTCGGCTGCATTGAGTTTTGGGTCGTATGGAATTGGGTCACCCAAGAAAGTGCGAAATTTGACTGGAAATCCTCCATAGATGGGTGCTACTGGAAGACGAAACCTCTCATACACCCAGCGGAAAAATCCTGAAATAATATTGAGATAAAACATGTAGATTTAACCCCTCCATGATCTATTATGATACATATAATACAACAGCTAAAAGTTATCATTTTGTGCTCACTTAATGTTCCAAGAGAGCGAAATCCCTCCCTCAAGTTTTGCGTAAACATTGGTATGACTGGCTGTAGTGACAAAACAAACTGTCAGCACAACAAAACCAGCACGTATAAAAGGATATGAGTAGGAGAGACTCCTCGTTTACCACTTTAGAGTCAATGGCCACTTGTGCAAATCCTTTGCGTTTGCCCCAAAGCAGAGGGTACGTCTCGTCGCTGAACAGAGCCTCTCGTACTCCACCAGGAGAGATGCCCAGGAGATGACCGTTCCGCAGAGCCTTCACACACTCCTCCTGTGGCCCGTGGATCACACTGAACACCTCCAACAGGAGCTTAAAGCCTGCCGCGGTTGTTAAACACATAATAAAAGCACAAATAATCTCATCAGTGTGTGTGTGATCTTGTTAAATATGGAAAGGACTGACTTCTGAGCTTCTGTCAGGGCATTGCTGTAATATTTCTTGGTAGACATTGAGTACTTCAAGTATGCCATGTATGGGTTTATCTCTGAAGAAAGTGCACACGTGAAGCCTCCTGAGCACAATTAAAACATTGAGGTCATAATCAGATTCCTATCTCTCGAAGTCATAAATCAGTAGGTACACAGAGTATCTGTACACAGATTCAAGCAAGATTTTAAAAAAATCTCTTCACATAGATACACTGATAGTGATTGTACAACATCAAAACTGGAACAGCAGAATTTATATTTTCCACATAAAAATTTATGTATGCGTGTGTGTGTGTGTGTGTGTGTGTGTGTGTGTGTGTGTGTGTGTACATTATAAATGAATAAATATATTTTTGTATCCCATTCAAATACAAGCAAATTATCAACGATTACTCAATTCTGAATGTTTGCTAGATTGTTCAGTGCTA